TCCCAGAACTCCGACCATGTGGATGTTCTGGACCCACAGTTTACCTCTTCAAAGGGCACGTGGTAGATGAAGCATATCGCACAGGATTACTTTGCACAAGATTCTAAGACACCATTGCTCATTATGCATGAGAGCAGACGGTCCAGATCATACAGCAAACAAAGAAACATCCTGACAGATTCATCACTGCGATTTCAATAGCATTACCACTGGCATAAGAATGGAGTAACAAAAAGGTGAATCAAGCCCTATGTTCTGAGTTGATTTGACAGGTAGCTGTCTACTAGATAGAGGCAAACAGTGATTCCCACAGAAATTTTGGGTCTATAAACATAGATTTCTTTACACTGCATTAATGGAATGTTAGCTGAATAATGTAGCACCTAGACCTGTGAATACCCAAAAGGTAAAGAACTACCAATTTCTGTTGGAAGAAATATAGCAGTGGGAATTTACTACCTATCACCTCACCAGGACGGTGACAGTGATGGTGAAATGCTCAGGGAGATTAGAAAGGCTACAAAAACTGAAAACCCAGTAATAATGGAGGATTTCAACTAACCCCATGTTGATGGGTACATGTCACCTCTGGAGGGGATGCAGAGATGAAATTTCTAAAGACTGCTAATGAGTGCTTCTTGGAGCAGCTAGTTCTGGAACTCATAACGAGAAAAGCAATTCTTGATTTAGTCCTAAGGGGCGCACAGGATCTGGTCCAAGAGGTGAATATATCTGAACCACTCAATAATAGTGACCATAATGTAATTAAATTTAACCTCCTTGTAAGGGGGAAAATACCCTGGTAGCATTCATCTTCAAAAAGGGGAACTACACAAAGCTGAGGAAGCTAGTTAAATGGAAATTAAAAGGTTTAGTAAAAAGAGTGAAATGCCTGCAAGCTGCATGGTAAGTATTTAAAAATACCATAATAGAGGCTCAGACTAAATGTATACCCCCCAAAACCAATTAAAAAAACCCCAAAAACTGTAAGATGACCAACCATGGCTAAACAGAGTAAAAGAGGCAGTTAGAGTAAAAAAAGATATCCTTTAAAAATTGGAAGTCAAATCCTACTGAAGAAAATAGAAAGGAGCAGAAACTCTGGTAGGTCAAATGTAAAAGTATAATTAGGCAAGCCAAAAAAATTTAAAGAGTAACTAGCAAAAGACACTAAAACTAACAACATTTTTTTTAAATACATCAAAAGCAGGAAGCGTGCCAAACAATCCCTGCGGCCATTGGCAGACATGCCAAACCCACCCACCCCCCCAAAAAAATGCACAAATTGGGCTTGTTTTTGGCTTAATTGGCTTGTGAGTTGCTTGTTGGCTAGTTTTTGCCTTGTAGCTTCTTTTTTGTTTGTTTTTTGATCAGCTCCCAGCAATCAGAGGCAAGGGGAGGAGGGTAAGCAAGGGGAAGGGACAAGGGTTGAGGGAGGGGGAAGTTAGGGGTGCACAGAAGGTCCACCACAGTCCCAGACTGCAAGCATGGGGGATCTAGTCATGTAGAGTGTTAGGGTTCTTAGGGACTGGCTTGTTTTGGCCTGGTTTTGAAATGGGATTAGCTTGTTTTTTGGCTTATTGTGAAAGTCAGGGTGCTTATATACCGCACTCAAGGAATAAAAGGTTGTTGAGGAGAAGTTAAACTCTACATCAGTCTTCACTTTAGAGGATGGGAAGGAGATTCCCACACCGGAGCCATTCTTTTTAGGTGACAAATCTGAGGAACTGACCAAGATGAGGTGTCAATAGAGGAGGTTTGGTAACAAATTGATAAATTAAACGGCAATAAGTCACTCGGACCAGAGTGCATTTACCCAAGAGTTCTGATGGAGCTCAAATATGAAATTACAGCACTGCTAACTGTGGTATGTGACCTATCCCTTAAATCAGCCTCTGTACCAAATACTGGAGGATAGCTAATGTGATGCCAATTTTTAAAAAACACACTAGAGGCGACCCCAGCAATTACAGGCTGGTAAACATAACTTCAGTACCAGGCAGATTGGTTGAAACTATAGCAAAGAATAAAATTGTGAGACATGTAGATGAACACGGTATGTTGGAGACGAATCAACACAGATTTTGTAAAAGGACATCATGCTTCACATTTTTGAGGTTGCATGTCAACAAATATGTTGAGAAGGGTGATCCTCTGGATACAGTGTTTGTCGACTGTCATAAAGCCTTTGACAAGGTATCTCACTAAAGGCTCAAACAAAATAAGCAGTCATGGGATAGGAGGAAAGGTCTTCTCATAGATCAGTGACTGGTTAAAAGACAGGAAACAAAGGGTAGGAATAAATTATCAGTTTAAATGAGGGGTCTAAATTAGCTGTTACCACTCAAGAAAGATCTGAGAGTCATCATGGATAGTTCTCTGAAAACATCTGCTCCAAGTGCAGCAGCAGTCCAAAAAGCGAACAGAACATTAAGAACCATTAGGAAAGGGAGAGATAATAAGATCGAAAATATAACAACGCCTCTATAGAAATCCATGGTATGCCCACACCTTGGATACTGCACACAGTTCTGGTTGCCCCATTTCAAAGAAGCTATACTAGAATTAGAAAAAGTACAGAGAATGGCAACAAAAATTATTAGGGGTACGGAACAGTTTCTATATGAGGAGAGATTAAGAAGACTGGGACTGTTCATTTTAGAAGACAGACAACAACAGAGGGGATATGATAAAACTCTATAAAATCATGACAGGTTTCAGAGTAGCAGCAGTGTTAGTCTGTATTCGCAAAAAGAAAAGGAGAACTTGTGGCACCTTAGAGATAGAGACAAATAAATTGGTTAGTCTCTAAGGTGCCACAAGTACTCCTTTTCTTTTTATAAAATCATGAATGGTGTGGAGAAAGTGACCACCACAATAACCAGGGGTCACCTAATGAAATTAATAGTCAGCAGGTTTAAAACAACCATAAGGAATTATGTCTTCACACCACACAGTCAACCCGTGCAGCCCATTGCCAGGAGATGGTATGAAGGCCAAAAAGTATAGCTGGGTTCATAAAAAGTATAAGATAAGTCCCCAGAGGATAGGTTCATCGATGGCTATTAGCCAGAATGGTCAGGGATGCAACCACTTACTCTGGGTGTCCCTAAACATCTGACTGCCAGAAGCTGGGACCATTCGATAATTGCCCTGCTCTGTTCATTCCCTCAAAAGCATCTGGCACTGGCCAGTGTCAGAAGACAGGATACTGGGCTAGATCGACCATTGGTGTGACCCAGTATGGCCATTCTTAGGTTAAGTGAATGAGTATTATTAGGGTTAGAACAATATATATTGTGCCTCAGCCGACATATGCTATGGCAAACTATAATAAAGTGTATTTTGCTCCTTGGAAGATTTTTAAGCTTGGCCTATCCCAAAATGCAATCTACATTATTTTCCTATGTATTGATCTAGACTAGGTATTTATGCTACATGTCATTGTCTGAGCAACGTTTGACACTGGCCACATCCAGAGAGGAACTGATCACTCCCAACCCTTAGGCAGCATGGACTAATAGATAGGGCTCTGGGCTGGGAATCAGGAGGCCCAGGTTCTTCTCTGAGCTCTGCCACTGAAGTATTGTGTGACCTGGATCAAGTCACTTCACCTCTTTCTCCTCTACCTTTTGTATTCTTTGTCCATTTAGCTCTTTGAGGCAGACTGTTCCTCTTACTTTATGTCTGTAGTAAATAATCAACAACATTGACTTGCAAGTGCTCAGCACCTCTCAGGATCAGACCCACAGTCATTTGCAAAGACTGTATACTTGATAACACCTCGCACATTTATAGCATTTGTTATTGTCAGACTGAATAACCCTCTCAAGGGTTATGTGAGCAAAGTAAATAAATATCCTAATAGCTGTTTAGAAACATGGAGTGATTTCTCAAGGCCACAAAATAAGTCAGTGGCAGAGTGAGTATCTGGATTGGACACTAGTTTCCTAGTCAGTGCCCCATGCATAAGGTATTAACAACATCAGTAAGAATAATATTTAGCACTTATGTAGGGGTTTATCTTTCAGCCTTTATTCACACGAGTAAAACTTGGTCAGGCCAATAGTCCCAGTGGCTCCAATGAGACTGTTCAGGTTAGTGATATTAACTCACAAGAGGAACAGGTACACATACTTGGTATTTTTAGAGAGTGTTCTACAAGTATTAATACTTACTAGATCAACTGTAGTAGCCAAGGTGGATTGATTTAAATCAAAATGGTTTAAATCACTGATTTTTATCATGATTTAAAATCAGCAAGCAGGAAGCTTTTATTTAAATAATCCATTTTAATTATGTTTTGCATTTGTACTTGCTAGTAATTCACGCTACACGTGTTTCTTCCTTCGCGTTTCAAGACAAATACGTCATGCTCTTATTAACAACAAAACAAACAAACAAACAAACAAACAAACAAACAGGTTACTGTCCCCTTGTCATGTTCTTGGGCAACAAGACAATCAGTATTGACAACTGTCATCCACAATGGAGGAGGAGAAATTTGGGAAGGAAACGAATGTTAGTGTCTGTTTTAGACTCCAACTAAGCAAGCTCTTACACAGCTGATTAATCAAACTCATCAATAGGACTACTTAAATTAATAAGTTACGCATGTGCTAAAGTATTTGCACGATCAGGGTCCTTATAAGAAGAGCTGAACAAAAAAAATTGGGCAAATAGTAAATTTACTGAAAAGTTCATTTCTAGGGCACCTGAACTAATCAAATAGTTTTGAAAATGTCATTTTGAAATCAACCTCAACTTGTTTGTTTCGTTTTTTTTCCAGTTTTTCATTTCAATTTCGGTTCAAAACAAACTCCCCCACCCTCAGATTTTTCAGTACAACCACCAAACTAAAAATATCAATTATTTGTTCAGCTCTACTTAGAAGGGATTGTTTTAAAACAAACAATGAGACAATACAGGTTTACAGTTAAGCTATTTCCCATTACACTGTCTTCTTGACACTTACAGGCAAACATTCTTATATTTTTCAGAAAACTATAATGATGTGCCTCAAGATGGGAGAGGTGGGTTTAGAATGCAGCGAGCAGCTTTCAAGAGCCAACTATCCAAGTGAATGACAGAAAACAAACAATTTGGCACTGCAAGATGGAGTTTGGTCAAGACATCTGACAAGAATCACCTCCTATCAACTTACAAAAACAATGTTGAAAGAGTTCAGAAAACCATCTGTAAGCAATATTTTAATTTTAGGTCAAGATTATTATTTTGAAAGGAGACATCGTATTTGATGGAAAGCTCAATACAGTGAAATACAAGTTGCTCTTGCAAGATCCAAGCCAAGGTGGACAAGGACAAGACGACAAACCTTTGGCAGATCAACTTTCTTTGCCTCCCCATCCATCAATTGCCATTAGAGCCTAATCTGTGTCAGAATAATGAATGTGAGTTATTCCAAAGTTCTCTGGTGAATATGTCACAATAGAGTAGATGCTGACATTCCCCGTCACTGTTCCCGCAATCACACCTCACAATACAAAGGGACCCCTCGTCCAATCAGAGTGCAGGGTAGTAGTCATTTCAGTCCCTGATTCTGGTCATTTTATTCACAGCAATGAGACTGGCATGACATCATGAAATTCCTGAGCACAACAAGTCGCCTCAACTGTACCTGCCCTCCAGAGGAGGGTACAAAAATTTAAAAAAGGACAACCTCTCCCCTTCCTCAACCTGATAGGAAATGAAAAGAAAAATCCCTCAGATTACAATAGCAATAACACCACTACTCCTCTGTTTTACAAGGCAATAATCCAATCCCCTCAGGGCGATAGTTATTCAGCAGTTGATTGGTCTCATAATTTATCCCCCTCAGGAATGGGAGGATTGCTTTGCAAGCCAGAACAGCAATGGGATACTGAGTCACTGCGTGTTGCAATAGCCTGACTATTTTATGGTAGGGATTTAATTTGAAGACATACAATATATTTTATATCAGGGTGGCCAAATGTACTGACCCTCTGAGCCACATAAAATAATCTTCAGAAGTTTGAGAGCTGGGCACACCTGCTGGGGCTCAGGGCTTGAGCAGGAGCAGGGCTGAAGCCCTGAGCCCCAGCAGACACCTCCAGCGAGACTAGAGCCCAGAGATCCCCCTCTCCGCAGGGCAGAAGCCCCTAGGCCTACCACAGGACAGAAGCCCTGAGCTCCCCTCTCCCAGTCTGGTAGGTGGAGAACAGGGGAGGGAGGGCTCCATGAACTGCACTTTAACTGTAAAAGAGCCGCATGCGGCTCACGAACCACAGTTTGGCCAGCCATTTTATATCAATCATTCCTGTGAAATTAAGTCATGCAGCAAGACATAGTTTTATACAGAGCACCTGGTGACTACAACCAAACAGAGGAATTCCTCTGGAATCACAGTACTCAACACAGCCACATTAGTGCCAAACTAATTCAGGATGGCTAATATTATTCCGACCAACACCAAATGATCTGACTGTGACTTAGCTGCATATATTTGAGAGCATCATCAATAGCAGGAACGCTTTCCATGTCTACTGAGTAACACGAAGTCTTCTGTTAAAACTTCTTTGAATTGAGAGCATTTTTCTTTTTCTACTGAACAGCTAAGGGATACATTATTACGGGACACTTTGGGCCAAGTTACGGCTACCTAGCAGAAGTGCATTAGATAGTGAAAAGGCACAGAGAGGTGTCTGTTCTGGAGAGCAGAAGCAGGGGAAGCCAGCCAATCTTGCCTGCAGCAGTCCAGTTCTGAGAGGAGGCCTGCCTGAGGAGGACAGGGACATCTCCATGTCCCACCTCCTTGCATGCCAACCAGTCAATGCAAAGTATCACTGGGGGAAGGGCATGCTATACCCAATGAAAAGGTGTAGCAAGTGCTACAGGTAAGCGTGCTCCCCCTCAGCACCCTTGCAGCCATTGGACTTGCTCCTGCTCCACGCAGAATGCCTGCAGCATCCCCTTTGTGAAGGGTACTCTGATGCCCCCCTTCTTCCCCGCACGTGATTCAGTTTGTAGAGCCATACTAGAGCCTTTAAAGATGTACTGTGGTATTGTACATGGTGGCAAATGTACTAAAGGGAGTCAATATTTTTTAAATTCTCAATTCACTTTAAACCACAGAGCTTTTAGTTTTCTAAAATAGCATTTCATGATACCATTCAAAGCACTTTAGTTGAAGCTGGGACAATAAGAGCTCCATCAAAGGGGCATTATAGAGAGTTTTCAGATACTAGTACAATACAGCATTGGGTTTTTGCAAAAATAGTATTTAGCCTGAGCAAAGGGGCTGCGCTTGCATGGAAGGGAGAATACACACAGTAGAGCTGTGAGATGGACGCCTCATTCCCAACTTGCCATAAAGGCCAGAAAAATCATGTAGCCAGAAGTAACATTGATTCTGGCCATGCCTCTGTGAGCAACATGCCTCCTTTTCTTTTCCTATCTGCCTTCGCTTGCAAAGACCAACCCGCCCCTCCCCCCCGAGGTTATATCTACAACACACAGTCTCCTTGCACACGTTTTTTGCTACTTATTCCTTTCCCTCCATCACAGCAATAACATAGCATTTCCACTGTTTATGGACCTGACACACACACGTAAGGTAACAGCAGGATCAAGTCTACCGAAGTTTGGGAACGATTTGTTACAAACAGAAATAGTAAGAGAGGCACTTAGCACTTCCAAGGATCAGGCCTGCTGACCCTCTGAGAATTGCAGGGTTCTTAGACCAGCACACTCTGTTACGCATCGTTCACTGTGCGATGCCCACCTCAGCACAACAGGCTGAATTAAGGATGGAATATCAGACTTCAAAGCCAACCTAGAAATCAGACTTCTCCGTAATATTTTAACGACTATATAACTACAAGAAGCGTGTGTGCTTACTGTCAATGAAAGACGAGAGAAAAGTTATTTCACTATTTTTTCCAGTTTGTTTACTTTACAGGCCTGACTGCACTTTGGGCTTCTCTGACCTTGAAATACTAGTGCAGCGCTGCAGCTGTGTCACTGTAGTTCTGCAGAGTAGACACTACCGAACTCGACGGGAGGGGACGTCCTGTCAGCCAGAGTCAATCCACCTGCCCAAGAAGCCGTAGCTAGGTTGATGGAAGAATTCTTCCGTTGACCTAGCACTGTCTACATCATGGGTTAGGTCGGCTTAACTAGATTGCTCGAGGGTACGGATTTTTCAGACCCCTGAGCCACTTCGCTAGGTCACCCTAACTTTTTAAGTGTAGACCAGACCTTTGTATGTAATCAGTTTCTCTGTTTCTCCTGTAGAGGCAATTTCCCCTTTCATTTGTCTGGATCTTTCATGCAATGAGAGTGAGACTGTTAAAGAACAGAAGAATAGGATCGTAAAAATCACAAAAGCTGGCCAAGGGACGCAGGAGTGAGTGAGCCTTAGAACTCACTTTTCTTAAATTAATAGTTTTCAGATTTTTGGTGTCCCTTTAATTGTAGCAGTCTCGAGTTTTGTCCATTCAGGTCTCAATTTTAGTAATACTGAAACAAATGTGTCAGATACCAATAGCAGTTTCCAAACTTCAGCTGATTGATTTTAACCTTGCATAACATAAAATGGATTCTCTGGGCTAGACTCTGATCTTGAGCACCATTTTACCCCAGTGTAACTCCATTTACTTCAATGGAGTCACTCTGGACTTACAACAGGGTGAGAATCAGGCCCACAGCAAATATTATCCATTAAAATAAATGACTATTTTCTGCAACTCGGCAACTTTACAATCAACAGAATTGTTTCCTGTACATAGTCATTCAAACGGTCTCCTTCAGAACAAGAAAAGCGAACTCTTCCTAAGTATTGTTTAGAACTACCTATTTTTATTGTGAGGTTATTGCCACCATAGAGATCTTTGTAAAAAGCTTGTGTTCATGAAGGAATTTGTACTAGATACTGGTTTGTGTGTCTTACTGGATTTTGTAAGGGTTTTTTCCCTTTGGGAATTGTGTGTTATTAATGAGCAGTTTTATGCTTTATTTCTGGTATGTGTACACATTGTAAGTGATGTGCTTTTTTTTTTTTAAATCTCTGTACAGACAGATTGATATTCGGTAGATACTCACTGGCTGAAGTTTTCATATTGCCTACAAATTTACACATGTGGATAAATCCATATCATAACAGAGGAACAATAGTTCATCTAGCATCAGTTAAAAAAACCAGCTTATAGCCTATATATTGTACTTGAACATTGGATCTTGACTAAAACGAATATTAGTTCAGCCTTAATCTAAAACAAAACACATGTATCACAGGTAAATTTCCCCCCACTGTCCCCATCTTTCGTATTCTGAAGTGTTCGAAAAGCAATGACTAGGTAAACAATATCTGTAATATATCAGCCATCATCAAATAAGGCTGTGCTCCAACAGTTCTCTACTTTTAGCTAGTGTAAAATGATTACAGCTAAAGCAAAATAAATTACACCAAATTCTACATTTACTTTTACCTTAAGAGCCTGATTCACTCAGCACTTCTAAGGTGACCAGATGTCTGGTTTTCGACCAGAATACCTGGTGGAAAAGGGACCCTAGTGGCTCTGGTCAGCATCGCCAACTGGGCCATTAAAAGTCCGGTCGGCGGTTCTGCGGAGCTAAGGCAGGCTAGTCCCTACCTGTCCTGGCTCTACACTGCACCCCGGAAGAGCCAGCAGGTCTGGCTTCTACGCAGGGGGCCATGGGGCTCCATGCACTACCCCACCCCGAGCACCGCTCCACACTCCCATTGGCCGAGAACCACAGCCAACAGTAGCTGTGGGGGCTGTACCCATGGGCAAGAACAGCACGCAGAGGTGCCTGCTGTCCCTCCACCTAGAATCTGAACTTGCAGTGCTGGCTGCATCCAGGGAGCAGCGCAGACTCAGGACAGGTAGGAAGACTGCCTTAGCCCCCGCGCTGCATCGTGGACCAGGAGCCACCAGAGGTAATCCTGCACCCCAACCCCCTGCCCCATCCCTGAACCCCCTCCCAAACCCAGAGCCCCCTCCTGTACTCCAATCCCCTCATTCCCAGCCCCACCCCACAGCCTACACCCCCAAATGGAGCCCTCACCCCCCTGCACCCCACTCCCCGTCCCAGAGCCCCCTCCCACACTCTGAACCCCTCTGCCCTCCCTCCCAAACCCAGCAGCCCCCTCCTGCATCCCAAGGCCCTAATCTTCAGCCCCAGCCCAAACCCTACACCCACAGATGGGAGCCCTCACTCCCTGCTCCCCAACCCCCTGCCCCAGCCCAGAGCCTCCTCCCAAACCCTGAACCCCTCTGCCCCACCCCCCCCAGCCTGGAGCCCCCTCCTGCACCCCAAACCCCCATCCCTGGCCCTATCCCAGAGCCCACACCCCAATCCCCCCCCAGCCCAGAGCCTCCTCCTGCACCCTGAACCCCTCATTTCTGGCCTCAGCCCCTCCCACACCCCAACCTACTGAAAGTGAGTGAGGATGGGGAAGAGCGAGCCACCGAGGGAGGGGGAATGTAGTGAGCAGGAGGCAGGGCCTCAGGGAAGGGCCAGGGTAGGGTGCTCAGTTTTGTGCAATTAGAAAGTTGGCAAACCTAAGCACTTCTAAGGATCAGGTCCACAATATGTTGGCTTTTGTTCAAAAAAAGAAAAAAAAGTATTTTGTTTATGCCCTTTCCTATGTAATAATATGGGGCACAAAATCACTTTAGTATGGAAGTGACTAATCCCATTCTATCCCTTTGAAAATGGACTTCTGCCCTTCTTAATGTGTGTGGCGTTGTTCATACTCTGAAGGCTTTATTCCTTGTCTCTAACTTACTTTACAAATTCTCTATCATTTTATGTTTCATTAAAATGATGTGTGTCTGACTTCCTAGTAATTAAATACTATTGTATAAAATAGGACAAAAGAAATTAGTAAAAAAGTCCAGGCCTTGTGTCACATTTATTCATCTTTTATACTTGGTACTGATTGCACTAAAGAAACAGGAGTCCAACAGTTTGGCCTGTTGATCTCAAAGTGTACTTAAGCTTATTGGAGTGGCTGTTCTAAATAAGTAAGTTTTTATTATGGCTGTAATTTTTGAGGAGTCTCCTCATAAAAAAAATTGTGAGGTTAGTAAGTACACTTCAAACAGATTTTGAAGCCAGTTATGCAATTCTATTTAGCAACCAAGCTTTTACACAAAAGTTAGAATAACTCAAAACACAATTAATCTGGAGTAACTCCTTCATAAGCCTTGCAAACACTATTGTATAAATCTCCAATACTTTTCATTCATAAATAGTACAATACGAATACTAGAAGACATGGCAATCGCATATTTGAAGCCTACAGTCAAATTTTAGGTTCTCTAATTACAATTCTAGGGTTACAGTGTTTTTCTCATTTTTGTTAATACACTGAAAATATCACTTACATGCCAACTGATGTTTAAATTCAATATGCGCGAGTGTTCTATAATTTACTAATCTAGTTTTGGATTTACTCATGTCTTATTGTTTGCTAAATATTCTGACTTCATATAATGAATCATGTGGTCTTTCTGAAATGATAGCCAGGAAGTCAAAAAAAACCCAAAATATATGTTTCACCCTACTATTGAACTGCTTTTGTCCTTATATACAGTAGTTTTTAAAAAGATGTCTTTAGGGTTTAATAAGTGAGTGTAATGTAAAATAATCCCTGTAATAAAATTTGCTTTAATGTTTCCAAACAGTCTACAGCTTGGAAGGTTTTTATTTCCATCCCAGTCTGCAGATTAAAAAAAATCTTCCTTTCCCATAGGTAGTCAAATCCGACGTCAACCATTCATCTAAAATTTGTATGAAAATAAGTGAAAAGAAAAAGGAAATTCAGACGTAAGGCTGCTTGAAAGTCCCTCTCCCACCCTCAGAGACATGGCCACTGCCACGCTGGTTCAAACCAGAGGTCCATCTGGATAGTACTAGAGCTGATTTGAGTTTTTCAACAAAACTTTTTCTGGTGGTGCTAGAGGAAGAACAGCTGCATGTGGCTCAAACGCTGGTCTCTCTCACCAACAGAAGTTGGTCCAATAAAAGATCGCACCTAATCCACCTTGTCTCTCTAATATCCTGGGACGAACACAGCTACCGGTACACAGCATACAGAACGAGTAAGAACATTTTTGATGAAATCTCAAACCCTAAACATTTTGCAGAAACTTATCCTTCCTGGGATGTAGGAAACAGCCCAGGTTTCAGTCTCTGCTCTGCCTGATCCAAAGCAGAGTTTTTCATCCCAGATCACTCTGAACCAGACAGAGCAGGGATTGGAACCTGGGTTGTTTCCCATATCCCCAGCCAGTGCTCTACCCAGTAGGCTACATGGTGAGAGTCAGAAAGACAGACGGACATGACCCAAAAAAGCTTTTCAACTCAGGAAGGGTGAGGTTTTGGTCTGAAAAACAGACGTTTGACACAATTCTATTTTGCAAAAACATCTGCACTGGAATGAAAACAAAAATTTCAAAACCTTGAAAGTTGCCACAAAACAAAATTGCCATTCTCCACACTGTTCTAATAAGCCCCTGCTCTAACGGGGCTTGAATGAGCCATGTGAGCACTGCATAAATGGTGGGTTTCAGCCTACCCCAGGGAATTAGGAGCACCATTCCCAAACAGAGGAAAAAAACCCTCTCAAAAGTCTCACATGAGAACAGATTTTCACATCATAACGCAAACTCCTCAAAATACAGGAGTTACCTCAGATATGTGACTTCACCATAACATTGTAGCCAATACAGTCTTCAGCAGGCTTGCACGTACTCACAAAATTCAGACGCCCTCACATGGCCACACTTACTACCTTATATATAGGGCTTTCCTACAAGTGAGCACCATTTGAAGCTCACCATTTGCCCTCCTTAGACTAACACACACTACAGTATCATAGTTATTATGTATTAGCTAGCATCTATCAAGCAGAGCCTTTAGTAGGAGCCACTGAAAAATATACACAACCCCAAATTCATCATTGCACCAAGGATGAGGGAGGTACTAAGGACTTGGGCCCTTCCCTCCAGGTTGGGGGTGATGTGCACTCTAAGGGATGAAGAGAAGGAGCAGTCCCTGTGTTCCTGGGAAGACAGTGACTACAGTGGTCTCTTGATCTTGTACACATTGTGTATAGGATCAGAGTGAGACCATCTGTGCCCTGTCTGCTCTCCACCCCCACAAACTGCACCGACGAAAGGACAAAAGGACAACCTGTCCCTGAGGACAGAAATATTGGGGTTTCCAGTTACCACTCCATGTCAGTGCTATGTTTTTAATAGTGCTCACAAAGGGGAAGTCATGGGAACCAACTCAAAGTCTCCAACCAAGCCTAAGGACATGAACACTCAGTCAACCAGACTGAATGGGGATAAGCTCTGAGTCACAAGCAGGGACACTGGCTCCATTTCTTGACAGCATCCAGAATGTTACAGATGGTGTCCCTGTGCAGATAAAAGGAATGCACGCCCGCGCATCCAGTCCCTAATAATGAAACGCACCACTAAGACCAACAAGCACAGGCAGATCCACCTCAGCAGACTGCAGAAGGAACCATTTTGAGGATAAGAAAGAGGCCGTGTGATTAGAAAGTCATCGAGGGTCAGAGATACTTATTACTGACAGCTTCCAACAGCCCTTCCACCCTAGATGTCACTTTGGGCAAGTTTTGTTAATTGGCTGAATTTGTAAAGGATTGTTATTTTCAGTTAATAGGTTTGATTTTATTTACAGTTTCCCCTTCCTCTCCCCTCCCAAAAAGGGAAGATTTAACAATATTTAGTAAAGTCAGTGGACACTGACAGCTGTCATAAAATGGGGCTGTTAATCATCTGCAATTGACCCATAGCATGCAGCGGGGGCCAGGAAACAGATCCATCTCTTCAAAAACAAACCTCCACCCCAAAAAGCCCACCGTCCCATGACTCACACACACACTGGCCCACCAAAACACCCTCCCCCCAAAAAGGCCACTCCTAACATGTATTTACTACTTTACTTGATTAAGACTTGACTGTAACACTGGATTTTAACATGGGGAGATCTACAGTGGATTTCATGCCTTTCAACACCACCTGTGCCAAATGGAAGCCGTTCCTCTTCCCTTTTTCTCCCCTCCCCCTCCCACACCATTGGCCTGCCTGGTGTCTCTTGTCTAGTTGCTTGCACACTCCTGGAGGTATGGAATGTGCCTTATCTCCATAAAGCATCAGAAGTTTACAATGCTATATAAATGCTTTAGAATAGGTAGAATACAGTATTAAATAAAAATTCATACAATGACCTATATGCTATGTTTCAGCAATACACCTGCCAGGTAACATGCTGTAGTAAAAGCTGAAAGCTATATTTTTAAAGAGAACAGGAGGAATTATTGCAATTGTGTGTGTTCTTCCCATAACACTGATCCTTCCTATCGCTTTCAGACCTGTATACAGTATCTCAAAAATAAAAGGATCCATTTTAATTGTTAATATTTGACATTTACTTCTTAGTTTATTATTTGTATTTCAGTAGTACCTAGATGCTCCAGCCAGATCCCATTATGCTAAGTGTCCGGAAGACAAAGCAGTCCCTATTCCCCTTACCTCAGGTTCTGTAGTACAAGTGCATTTGCACTTCTGAAAGCTGAAGAATTTAAAAAGGCAAATGATAGAGCATGGTTACTGATAATTCAACAGAGTCATTATTGTGTGTGGCCTTACTATTAACTGAACCCCAGTGTTTTCAACATAGTGCAAAATGACAGAATATTTAGATTCAAAATTACGTGGTCAACATTAATGAGTTCAAAGTGTGTGAAATGGCTTTAAATGGGAACTGATAAGATATTTATTACACTAAAGAATTTAAAAACAGAATTTGCTCACCACAACTGGATGCAGTGAGTCTTTGTCTGGGTGGCAAGAACAAAAGGGGTTGTTGCCCCTTTAAGGGTTCCCACTGCCCTGGGTTATAATGGGAAGGCACAAGGGGGCAAAACCAGAGTGGAGCAAGAGGGAGCCAGAAGCCCTTGTCAGGTGGGAGCAGAGACATACCAGGCACACCACATGTCTGTGTTTATACACTCCAGACGGACTCTTCTTTGACCACTGACTAGGAGCTGGTCCCTCTTTGTGGCAGGTGTCCTGCACAGATACTTGTTCCATAAGGGATCTGGTTCCCTGAAAACGCAGAGCTAGAAGGCTACTTAAGGGAAGGCCTCTCCTGAGGAAGCTGGTTGGCACCCTAACATCTGGTATAGTGGGGAAGAACCCCCCTCCGCCCCCCCGCCTTCTTCCAGCCTCCGTCTCCCCATATGAGGGGTGGGTGGCGGGTTCCCAGCAACAGGCTGGCTGGGACCAAGTTGGGAAGGCCCAGGACTGACTGCAATCCTCCCACATCGGTGGAAACGATTAAGGAAAGACCGATGGCCCGCACTGTATGCTTTATTGCTGGGTATTCCCAGGTAAGTTAATAAATTTGTGGCCTAATTAAACCAGGCACATAGAAAAACAGATAAGTTGCTATGGGGCCAGGACAATGAGAGGCACTGCTACGCATAATTCATCAGAGTCATTGTGTGTGTTGTGGCCTTAATATTTCCCAAACCCCACTGTTTTCAGGATATTGCAAAATCAAGGAATATTCAAGATCATGTGGACAACATTAGGGATTTTAAATAAGTACTGTCTATGTAGAGCAAGTGAAATGTCTTCCAATGCTTCTTAAAGTGTCCTACGGAAAACAGTGCAGTGCTATAAATTAATTATACTGGTAAAACCTAACTGCCTCTACCCAGTCATTATCCCTAAAATCATAAATAAACAAAAGCATCAAAGTTGGGCCTTTTAATTGAGAGTTCCTTTTATTTCTACTAGAAAGGAAAGATTATTCCGATTGGTTTATTAAGCCACAAATACTGCAGGACAGAGATGAAAGGAATTTCAGCTTTCAGATCCACTTCCAAGAAAATAAAATAGTCATGCTTAAGTCTAAGGACCAAAATTTTAACTCTGTGTTTTGATAATTCAACAGTTTTATGCTATATGGAACAAAGTCTTTATTTTAAACAAATGTTCAATTTAACATTAATCACGTGCAATCTCTTCATCATTAGTATTTATATGTAATGTAGTTTTGGTAGTAAAGTGCAAAAACTTAAAAATAAAATTAAAGAGAGGGAAAATAATCTATTTTTCAAGAACCTTACCATAACCTTTTACCGTCAGACAGATGGAGTCAATTTTTTAAAATCTTTTTCAAAACAAGCTAAGATGCAATACTGGAAACTCACTAGGATTCATTACTGTATTGCATTAGAGATAGTCGTATGGTGAAACACTTTTCAAACCAGAAGAGAGTCTTCTTTCAGAGGTTGTCAATGGTGCTCACTAATTGGCTACAGTGATCACTAATGATTAACATTACAGCTCGTCAAACTCCTCATGGCAAACTAACTATGTCCCATTTTTTGCAAATTGCCTATTGCATAACCTTGGTAACAAGCACGGCTTTGAATCTTCATTACTCGGAATTTTCTATGTGAGTTGTGAAATTGATGGTCACTCGAGTCATATGGTGCGGTTTCTCTTCCCTCATTAGATAACCTTTTAAATCCTTCCTCCAAAGAGGCACAGCATGACTATTATGAAGGACAATTAAGTCTTCTCCTTTCCCCTTTTGGAGAACCACATGGACACCCCCAGATTTTAAAATGGGTGGGC